TTGGCCTTTGTTTTGTTCTGGTCTCTTAGCCTACTTAGATTCCTGTTGGCAATGAAGTTGACACCCTAGCATTCCAGACCTTTTCAGACTGGCAACCACTGTCAAGCTAAGGCTCTCTTGCTGTTGCTGTTTTCATTTGAATTCCCCACCACCACCATTTTGTCATTTGAGACAGTCAAAAGCCAGGTGTCATGGGTGACCTTGAACTGCCGATTCTCACCCCCCCCCACACACACACACCTATCAAGTGCTAAGATCACAGGCCTATAGGCCTAGATAATTATTCTTTTTTGGTTAATACCTACTTAATAGTAGACATAAATTATAACTTAATAGACAGTGGTTTGTGAAACCCAAATTTGCACCTAAAGAAAATTCTTCAGTTCTATGATATCTAAGCAATAATGCTAATTTCTAGCCTTCTTGTAATTAGCCAGACGATGATTCGCTGACACTTTGGGACCCTGTGCACCATAATCTCCTAAGACTTGGGACCATTGTGGAACTCTTTTAAAATCTTGGGCTATGTTTGAACTATGACCTACTGGAGGTGAGGGATCTTGTTAACGTCTGCTCTTTGAACCGCGGTTGGATGATGCGTTCGGAGTTCTGTTTGATGACGGCTGTCTTCAAAGCAATAGGTCAGAGGATCCCTGACTCTTACTTTCTAGAACTGGTTCACACAAGGAACTGCTTGTTTCTGTAGTGTAGATTTAGATTTCTGAAAATCCATAGATCCCATCTTATGGAATCAATTAGCTAGGATCAATTATTGCTAAACTGGGGTGGGGGGAGGCACATCACTATGAAATCTCTTGTAGATCCTGTAATCTATATAGTTGTATTCATTTTTCCAGAAAAATATTCTATTTTGGTTTTTCAAAACAGTTCACAAAAAACATTTTGTATGTTGTAAGAGTTTCCTTGGTCTGTTTATGTTTTGTTTCCCATTATCAGCTTACAAAAGAAAAAAAAATTTTTTCCTAGAACAACTTAAATACAACCTCAAGGTTGTATTAATTAATTAATTAATCAATCAATCAATCCTTAATTAATCAATCCTAGCTTTTAAGTTCATATAAAGTTCAATAGAATATTTTATATACAAATATATTCTGTGAAATATTTATTAAATATTTCCCAAGATGATTGTGACGAGTTCTTAAATTTTAACTGTTATCTAATGAATGCAACCTGGCAGACTTTTGCTTTGTTTTAGCCCATGATTTATCTTTTTTCACGTATCAAGGGCCAGATTATTTGAGTGATACATTACCTATTTGCCTCAGGACTCGTTAAGCACCTCTTTGATGCGAGAGCTGCTATGTGTTTTTCACTGCAGCAAATATGAAAAGCACAGCATACTTGACCTTAAAAAACTTAACTGGAAACAATGTTAAGATGAGATTAAAAAGTACATATCATATCAAATTACTCATCATAAAGACGCCATCTTCTTTTGGTCCCGTCATTTCTATTAGCTGTTGTCATTTCGTTTGGTTTTAAACAAATGACTTAGATGAGATGCAAGGCATGCCTGATGAATGCCTGGAAGGTTCCAAACTGGAAGCGAGAAATGCAAGAGCCGTATACTGAATACTAGGAATAATGATGATTCAGTACACGAGAACACTGCACTCAGAAGAATTAACAAATGGAAGTGAACAGGAACAAGTGTAAGTTCCTGTGTTTAATTTCAAATTTTCAATAGCTTCAATACAGGATGGGGAAAATAAACCTGTAATTTTCACACTCAAGACAGTCCTGCTGACTTTTAATTAGCCTAACTGTTCCTAAGAGGCAGGCTTGCTGAGTATCAAGCACCTGCAGGCCCAGTGGCCTCACCTGCTGATGTCCCTGCAATACCTACAATGTGTAGCTAAGGGAGAAAAGGTGCTTGCTGAAGAGATAGCATTGGGTATAGATCCAGCACTGTAGGAAGGCCCTAGTTCATAAAATCGCCCGTAGAGGTGGGAGATGCCGCCTGTGGGTGGCAGGGAAACCAGGCGACACAGAAATGTTGAGTAACCGCAGGATGTTTAGTCTACAGAAGAAAGATTACGGGACTTTGATGGTTGTTTTCATCACTTAGAGGACTATTGTGTGACTACAAGAGGAATCTTGAGACCTACTGGGGTTATTTCAGTTGGCCAATAGGGTGAGAGCGTTAGAGAGAGAGAGAAATTCATTTTGATGTCTTCGGAAGCCTACCTCTAAAGCTTTCTCTGTCCGTGAACATTCCAGAAGCTGGCTGACAGCCCGGCCTATAAAGAAACAAGCTCTTGCCAGTAATTCTGATGACTGTTCTTTGAGGGCTCCTCTGATGCTACTTCTTTTGTTCTTATTTTCTGAAAAAAAAAAAAAAGGAAAATACCAACACGGTTCCCATGTCTTCCTGGAGCTCTGAGATCCACAAGACTTTTGCCAGTGTGCCCTGTGTGTTCTTATCTTCCCCACCTTCACTGGCAGCAGTACCTTGACCTCGTTAACCCAATCCATTAGACTTGATAGAACCTAATCACAGCAAATCTGTTCCAACCGTGATAGCATACTGCTGAGCGACTCCACAGCGAGACAAAAACCGTGACGCCTCTAGTCCACCAGTCGGCCATGCAACTGCCATTGCTGAACAGAACAGCTAAGAAAGGGGAGAGCTTGCCTCAAGATGAGGTTAATAGTAACAGGAGGTTCACAGGCCGGAGCCCAAGAGAGGCAGTGCACACAGAGGTTCCTCTTGCAGCCCACGGCTTGACGTAGGAGTGTCGATCCTCTGAGAAAACGTCAAAGGAAGGGAGGCGCCTCTCAGTGCCCTACAGCTGCCCTCATGTTTGCTGTGGCTACCTCTCCCAAGCTATGCAGGCCAGACCAGCATCTCCTGAACACCTGCTATGCTTTTTTCAAATGTTTCCAGATGTCATCTTACAATTAGGAAAAAAACATGACATCTCTCTCTCTCTCAGCTGCTGTTTCTCTTGCCACCTTCTGACCAGTCCTTGCTCGGTCAACAGAACGTGCAGTTCTACTGGAAAAGACTGTGGTACTGTTCCTACAAGGAAGTGGCTAACACTGGAAACTGAAGTCACCTCTTCACTTCTTGCCCAATGCATGGTCTTGGCACCGTGTCAAGGCTGCCTGAGGAACCTCTGCCTAGCTCAGGGGGTGTAGTGTCGCTGCTTTAGTAGTTTGACAGGCGTACGTACAAGGCCAGTTTCAGTTGTCATTCACCAAAGTCATGTCACAGTGCGAACAACGCATCATGTCTTCAAGTTGGGATGGCTTACGTGATCAAAAAATTGTTTTGAGTAGTACCAAACACCACTAGGGAAAAAAAAAAACTCCTTAAAAGCAAGACTAAAACTTAAATAGGATTTGCTGTGTGGCTAAAGAGTTACAGAGAGATTACAAAAGTTTGGATAATTACTCTAGTGGCAACTCTTAGTGAAATGACGAATAGGTAACTTTTGTATTAAGGTTTGACAGTTTATCAAGCTAAAGAACCATCACCCTAGGAGAAAACGTGAAAAAAAGTATTATGCATATCAAAATATGATGAGAACTAGGGACTTTTCTCCCAAAGAAGCTGCCTTCTTCCAATCTATGCCATTGGGAAGGCTGAACAGCTGGTGGTGATAATGGGTGGCAAAGAGGAAAAGCAAGAATCAATTCCCAGTTTCCAGTCAGCTGAAGGATCCGCCCACTATTGTGTTTAGATGCCTCGCACACCCAAAGGCTGCTTGGTGCCCTCACAGCCTTAAATAAAGCACTTCCCAGTAGGTCTTTCATTTGTATTAAGAGCAATAGATCACAGCGCGGCTGTGCTTTGTTAACCCGCTGTCGCCATCCCTTTTAGCCCAAATGCATAATGCATTTTAACAGAAGAGGGATGGGAAGGGTCCAGCGAAACTAAAACCTCCACTCCAGCTGCTGTGAGTTTAACACTCAGGGTGACTTTGTCACCTAGCCACTGCCTGGCTTTAACAGAAGAGGGGACTGAGACCAAACGCTTTTAAGGAAGTTATGTGCAGCACACAGGTAAAAATTAGCACAGGAAGGGTTGGAGCTAGATGGCCTGACTCACCCCAGAGTCCGAGTATTCAACTGTAAGGTTCTGTCACTGCTCTGATAACAGTACAGTAGGTAACAGCACTTCCAGAAGGCAGGAGGATCGAGTTCAAGGTCATCCTCTACCACAAAACACTAAAATAAATAATCAGGTGCCTAGAGTGCATGGCATTATATTGAGCCATATTATGTATATATATATATATATATATATATATATATATATATATATGAGAGAGCACACACATATGTACACATATGTAGAGGTGGGGGGAGAGAGAAAGCATGATCCATGCATTCCTAAATGATGGAGAGATGTTCTGGAGAATGTAACATCGAACAACTTTGTTGTATAAACACTATATAGTACATGTGTACAAACCCAGACAGCACAGCCTACCACACACCTAGATGATACAATATGTATACAGCATTTCCTGCTTCTCCCAAAACCATCAAGAACCAATGAATACCCAAGAGAAGATAGTGCAGTCGAGTACAGTAACTACATACGGTGCTGTGGCTGCCAGCCTAACGTGACATACAGTTTTCCAGCCAATTAAAATTAAAGTAGGTGTATAAGCTAAGTAACACCAAGAAGAATGGTAAATAGCAATGCTAACAACAAAGTCATTTGTCATCATTCTGCATTATTAGGGAATGTACAGAGTAATTACAGCTGTCAGAGGGTGGGCTGGTCCATACCAGAGTCATCATTATCACTAACCTATGAGTAGTGCATCATGATATGACACTATTGCACAGCATATGACTGCATTGACATGATGTTTAGACACAGGTAAGAAGGGTCACAAAAAAATTGTAAGATCATCTATTCCGCATGTTTGGCAGAACACTCTAATTCTGGTGTCATGTCGAGGTTACGGTATGATAAGGTGCCAGCCACACTGAGTTATTTTATGATCTCTTCCATGCAGGGGTGGCATGGTCCAAACCAGTGAGCAGTATGAATTTGTGCACCATGCCCTGTGCCTCTACGAGAGCAGACTTCCACCAGAAACTGTCCAGTGATCCCGTGAAGATTCACCAACGTGTCAATCTCTCACGGGTGATTAATAAAATCACCTGCTTTCGGCTGCTCGAAGGAGCCCTCCTGCAGCAGACGAGGAGGCTCTAAAACCAACCTGAGGCGTGGACTGGGGAAGACCTGGCAACATAAAGGTCTGCCAACCCTTTGTGTATAGGAATGCATCTGTAAGCACCCCCCCCCCCCAAATTATTTCGGAGGTCCTGTGCTGATGGCGGTATGTTAATTTCTCACACAGCCTAAGGTGGATTTTGTTTTGTCTGTGCGGCTTCCCTGCCACACGGAATCCATGTGTGTAATATTCAGTGACTGACGACAGGAGGAGCCGCTGAAGACGTCGTCCTCATGTGTTTAGATGCTTTCGTGTTCACCGAGTCTGGCTTGTGAGTGGACGGCCAGCTAGTCACCTGTCCCGGTTTAAGTGCTATTACCTATCTCAGTTACCAGAATCTTGCTGCTGACGTTGCAAGTGATCAATAACAGATTTTTAAAAAAAATAGGTTTTTGTTTTGGAAGAAAAAATCAAATGCAGTAACTATTTTATATGGAAATGTGTCTTGATAATATCTATTAAATGTGTATTTATAGTACCTCCTATGAATCAATTACAGAGCACAATGACTGTCATTGGATACATATATACATATATATGTATGTATGTCTATATATATATATATTCTATTATTAGGCACAGAGTTGGTTCTTGTTCTACAACTCCAGCCACTATATTTCTACATTGTGACTTGTTTTGCTTTCAAAAGGGGATCAACAAATTTATAGTAACTCTAAAAAGTACCAATAATTTTAAATACTCCTTTCTCTTCTTCTAAGAAGGGATTTTTGAATATGCTGTCTACCCGGAATCTCTCTCCCAATACGAGGCAGGTGCCTTGGGGGGGATGCTCCAACCTGCCTCATTCCCAGAAGTTCTTCTAAAGGATGCTGTCACGCACGTCCTTCTATTTCTAAAAGTTTTCATTTCTCATGAGACAAAGGAAGGCGAGAGGACTACCCCCAGCAAACATGAGATGTTGGGCTCGCTATGAATGTTCAATGCAGCAAAGTTGACATTGTTTTCATACTACCAATAAACGGCTCTTAACATGAAGTATTGAGCGGCGTGTATTCTTTTCTTACCCCCATTTGGAAAACAGGCGTCGTGGGTGTGGGTAAACCGAAGTAGGTACTATGATGGATTTAATTTCAGTCTTCTCCTTCTCCCAGGCAGAGAATTGCCTCTCTCCAAAGGCGTTCTTATAACCACTGGAGAGATAATGATCTGCAAGTCCCATCATTATGTGGTTTCCCACATAGACGCCAGCGTCTCATTATGCAAACAGTACGTGTTTATGTCTTTTCTCGCACTTGTCACAGACCCCCATAAACTGCAAGGCTTACGTATATCAGACAGAATCATATCACCTGAAAAGAAGGCAGTGGTGTAGGAAGACTCAATTATCTGACGTTACGATTCTCTTCCTCCGTCTTGAGGTTTAGAAGTACTCATGTGCCCAAGAGACAGCAGGGAAAAACACTCTGGGGTGTATTCTGGCTCCTGGGGGCTGGGTCTACGTTTTAAAAAGAGATGATCATTATACCTTCTTTCTAAGGAAACAGACAGAAGGACACTGGTGTAAAACTTCCCCCAAACAATTCAATTGGAGGAAGTGTGTCACTGACTTTTCCCCTCTCCGTGAAGCACATTTCCTTCCTCTCTCTTTGCCTCTCTTATCTGGGAGGATTTTTTTTGCCCCCAAGCGAAGCATGAACCGTTGTTTAAGTGGAAAATGGAGGCTGAATTTTACATGGCGATTCTAACCTGCCTGATCCTCGGAAGCTTGGGTGAGTGGGTCTGCCTCAGTTTCCTGAGGCATTGTCTCTCTCAATGTTAGCCAAACAGGCTGGTAGCCTTTTGAGAAGTGTCTGAAATGAGCCAGAATCGGAGCCAGGTCTCCATGGCAGTGTAGCCAGAGACGATGGGGAGGGAGGATTACAGGAGACAGCTCTGGCCATGCTGCTGAGATTTCTCTCCAGAAGAAAATAAGTATTTACCAAGCGCCTGGGACAGCTCAGCTCCTGGAAGAATGGGCCTCAGAGTGAGGAGCCCTGAGCAAAGAGCTTTCATTATTTATATGTAACAATCTGTAGAATTCTCTGTAATTTTTTCCCAATCAAGTTATACGTTTACTTTCTTTTCTTTTAAAGAAAAATACATACAAGAGAATGAGGAGATGTGCTTTATTTGGAAGTTGTCATTTGGGAAGATTGAATATTTCCATGGAAAAGCTAGGTGGTTTAGGTTAAAAACTCCTTGAAAATGGTTTCTGAGCCTGAGTGTTTTGCTGTGTATGTTTTAAAAGTGGGCATTTAGTCTTCAGGAAATGCTGATGTCTTTAAAAATATGTTAGTATTTGGTGGGAAACTATACACATTGTCATCAAATCGATGTTTATCTGTAGGGCTGCAGGGACATAGTCTCTGGTAATCAATACTTGAGTTGTTGGCTACCAGCTGCAACTTATGCTTCGAAAGATGGGAAATTCCATTGTGTTTTTATCTCTTAATAAATGTACTCAATTTTTAAAGCGTTTATTCAGACTATATACTCGTAAACAAGTATTTGTTTATTTTGGGAGCACAGGGACTGAGAAGCGAGCATCTCACTCTGTTTGTAATGGAACAGGGCTATGATATGAAGAGGACCAAATGGTTAAAGGGGACCAAGCTCTGTAATTGACTTTCATAATGCACACATTATTTTCTGTGTTTGTCTTTCCTCTTCCAATGAAAAGCCATATTCCTTGGATGACTTTGATTCTTTTCCAAGATTCCTTTATTTTTCCAATGGGAATGTATGCTCACTAAATCATACAAAAGTTTAACAGGGGAGTGTTATGTGTAATGTTTCGATACTCTTCTGTTGGTTCTGGTTTTTTTGCTTTGTTTTTCTTTTGGTGGGTTGATTGGTTGGTTTGGGAGGGTGTTTTTTGTTGCTTAGTTGCTTGGTTGAGTTTGGAGGATGTTCTTGGTTGGTTTGTTGATTGGGTTTGTGGGGAAGGAGGGTTGTTGTTTGTTTGCCTTAGGATTTTAAGTCATGTGAGCTAAGTCTGAGACTATGTATTTGCAGTGCTAGAGAGATCAAAATATAAGTAAACCTGTTATTTTTAATTCAGTTAGTTATGTGGGCAGGTAGTTTTGCTACTTGATGGCCTTTCCGTGGCACTTCATAAGTCTCTCGTCTTCCAGAGGGGTTCCAGATAGTCCATGTCCGCAAACAGCAGTGTCTTTCCATAAATCAGAACGTGGTTATGAGCTCATGCAATGCCAGCAGCCAGAACCAGCAGTGGCTGTCGACTGAGGATGGGAAGCTCCTTCACATTAAATCTGGATCGTGTCTGGGCATCTCCAACTCCTCAAGGGGTCCTTTCCGACCAGCAGTCTCCACTCCCTGTGCCCAGGCACCCCGATGGACCTGCCATGACCAAGACGGCTTCCTTGAGGTGGAAAATACTTCTCTCTTTCTCAAGAAACAAAACCGTAAGGTAGTGGTAAAGAAGATTAGTAAATACCTCGATAGCTGGATGAAATTAAACACCAACAAGGAAGGGAAGCTGATCAGCGAAAACCTCTGTGCAAAGCAAGGTGAGTGATGCCTAATGAGTCCTGAAAGTCATTCTGGTCTTTGCAAAGCTCAGGGAGAGCCACATGCTCCAATCTATCTCCTCTGCAGGACACATACATTTACAAACGGAAGTACACTAAGTGGTACCCAACAATGGAAAACTTCATTATCCTCATTAAAGTCAGCAACTTCTCTGCCTCTGTTGTTTCCTTTCCCTTCTTTTCTTGTACTCAAACTTTAAAATGTGTGTGCACATGCACGTGTGTGTGAAATCTTGTGTGAGTGCCACTTCTTGAATATCAAAGAGTCAGAGGACAATCATGGGTCTTAGGCCATGACGTCCATCTTATTTGAAACAATGTTTCCTGTTCACCCCTGCATGCATCACACTAGACAGCCTACACATCTCTGCACATTCTCCAGTCTCCATCTCTCATCTCACCGTAGTAGAGACTTGTGCTATTGAACCTGTACCCTTCAAAGGGTCCTGGGGACCTGAACTCAGTTTTCATACCCACTGTGCCATCTTCTCAGGTCCAAAACTGCTTCTTGAGTCTCCCTTTTGTGTCAGACACTATGACCAAACCCTACTAGGTATTGGAATATACATCCAGGCATATGTACACATGTAATGACTAAAGTCAACGGTCGGGAAATTAGATTCGACTGATCTAGAAACTTCTATCCTCTAATGAGGAGGAGTTTTAGGACACAGGAAGGAGTATCAAAAAGCAGAGATGATACTAGGCCATGCTTCAAAACTGTTTCATGCTGGTGCTCACATCATTCGAAGGGAACATACATTTTTTTAAACAGTCAAAGACAATGAGTAATCACAAATTTTTTTTCTAATTGTTGATAATTAGTGTCCCCAGATAACAGATGTGCATAAAAAATTGTATATGCATACACAAATTCCTGTTTCAGGCCATAATTGTCCTAAGTAGGAATATTTGTGGAACGTATATGCAGTTTCATCTTCTCTTGAGGTTGGCTGTATTCATGGTGACTCTGCTTTTCCTTCAGAGGTTGGCTCAGGGAGTCATGAAAGATAAAACTTGCAGAATCGCAATACACTGGGCATGAAAGAGCCCTTAAGAACACTGGGAGAATCACTTAGAAATGAATCTCCATGATAAATACACTGAAGTTCATCAGGATATAATAAATCATCCTAAACCCAAGTTAATTTCGTGTCTAGTGTACATCCCTTATAAGTGAGCTGCTTAGTGCTTCCTGCTACCTCCCTGTGCTGACCCAGCGGTTCCCAGTGTTGATCCAGTGCCTCCCAGGGCAGATCCCATTTATCCCAGTGTTTCCCAGTCCTTCCCAGTGCTGACCCAGTACTCCCTGTGCTGACCCAATGATCCCCAGTCCCTTCCAGGACTCCCCCAATTCTTCCCAGTGCTTTCCAGTACTGAGCCATCTAGCTGGCTGCTTGACAAAGCCATGAGGAAAAGGCAGAGCTTACTGAAAACACAGATTCCCAAGATCCCTTCCCACCTTCCTTTATCCATAACGGCCTCAAGATCTGGAGTCAGGAGCTATGGACCTGTATTAACACTAGCATGGGTCCACAGTCCTTCTTGGGGATCAGCATCCACTATCCCTAAAACCTTTTCATAGGTACCCACCTCTGAGGCTGATTGGAGATTTTCTACCATGGTAATCATTAAGCAGTGCTCTCTCTCTCTCAGGCAAATGCTAAGCAAGTACGTAATTAGATTTTATTTGAGGGTTCCTCTACAACAGACATTGAGGTTTATGGTCTCAATCCTATCACTTCTGACTATGCAAAGAGAGTAAAAATACAGTAGTCTATTAGAAAATTCAACTTTATCGGACCATATACAGCACATGGAGCAAACTGTACAGTTTCATCCCTGTGGTTAATTTGTCCAGCTCTGTCCTGAGTGACAAAGGACCATGCTAAATAGAACAAATTGTACTCTTTTTATCTCTTATTTTCTGAGAGAGGGTTTCTCTATGTAGCTTTGCTGGTCCTGGAACTCTCTCTCTGTAGACCAGACTGGCCTCAAACTCACAGAGATCCTCCTGCCTCTGCCTCCCAAGTGCTGGGATTAAAGGTGTGTGCTACCCCCCCCCCCCCAGCAACATTTTTACTCTTACCCACAGGAAGGGAAACCCATCTCTAACCTCAAATCAGGTAAGGCAGGTGTTTACCTCCATGCTGCCTGAAAGGCCTTGGTGTTTTTGAGATGAGGTCTTACTGTGTAAGCCCAGACTGACCTGAAACTCACAAACTGTGGGTCCCACAGAGGGTCCTGCTTCCCAAGTGCGGAGATTACAGGTGTGGAACACCCAGCTTAAAACCACCATGAAAATAATTATTTTTCAAATCACTGTTTTAAAGATTTAAAAAAGTCAAAAAAAAAAAAACAAAAATCAGTGCTCTAAAGCTATCGTTCTGAGTCTTCAAGATGGCAACAAGACCATGATGTTCCAAACATCAACCTGTC